CAAGAATCTAGAGCTGGATGGAGGAGAATGCCCTTTCTATGTCGGGCATTGCGACTGGGGCAGGGCTTGGGCAGACTACGACATCCCAGTCTGAGGAGGCACGGCCTATGGGAGCCACGACCAAGCTCCTCTGCGGCAGCTGTGGTGACGCTGCCAGAAGCCACCTCTTCTACCAGACCCGGGAGCAAGTTCGAGCAGGCCCGTGGGGGAAGGTTCCTTAGGGATGTGCAGTACTTTCTCCCTGACGGAGAATTTCGTGAAATGGTGGTTGTTGCAAGCCACGGCTACGCCTACCATAGGAAGGGCTGTGGCGATCTGAAGTGTGCCCGCAGGACCTCCAGAATGACGGTCCAAAGGGCTTTGCAGAATGGCAAGGTGCCATGCAAGCATTGCTTCCAATCCCATTGGGAGTACAGCCGAGGGGAGCGATGATTTGAGATGCGAAGCACCTCAATTCTGTGATGCTTCGCAGGAGGCGTGTAAATCATGCCAGACACGTCTCCACTCCCTTTTGAGTGCGAAGTACAGTGCCATTGCAAACAGTGCAGCGGCAAGAAACGGGATCGCACTGAAGCCCTTTCGGAGCAAAAGTGCCGAGCACGAAGTGTGCTTTTACACACGCGCTTACGCAAGTGCAAAAGAAGGCTGCGCCTGTCAGAAGCTGAGTGTTGTTGAGCACCTGAAGCGATAGGTGCGAAACTTTAACGAGCTTTCCGCTCAAGCAACCCACCCGCCTGGCCCCCGCCAACGGAAAACCCGTGGCTCGTTCTGTACTGGGACACGCGCTTACGCAAGTGCAAAAGAAGGCTGCGCCTGTCAGAAGCTGAGTGTTGTTGAGCACCTAAATAATTACCAATATTATGGTTAGGGTTCCTTATTATACTTATAGTAATATGGGCCCCAAAACCCTATTCTAATTATTAAGGCCCTACATGAAGATGTATGTCCATTCTGTGTCCGCCAGCTTCCTGCTTCAGATCATAAGACAAAGAGTCAGGTTGAGGGTAATGAAGTTCTAGCGTTTAGGGTTTAAGGTTCAGGGCAGCAACAACGAGAATCTACTAGTGATGGTCCAGGCGCAGAAATATCTTTGCTTCCGGGATGTTTGAGCTGCCTTCCTCGTAGGAAGCCAAGGGCAGCGGAAACAAGAGTTTTGCGGTGGGGCAACGTGCAGGACTTGTGGGGGTACGGGGTTGGTGTTGTGCTTGCAATTTTTCAGACTTAAAGTTTCGTCGCAGTCGGGTGCAAGCTGTTTACCATTTCTACCCGAAACTCTCTAAGAGCCCTAAGCCTAGACCCTAAACCTCTGAACCCTAAGTCTCGAAGAGGTCTGCACCTCATGCTTAGTGTTTCAGGGTTTTTTCGTTTTGCCGAGTTTAAGGGCTTTGGGTTTAGGGTTTGCAAGAATTTCTTTATGCGCCCTAAACCCGAAACCCGAGAAGCACACACACATCCTTGAATTTTCACGGCAGTTATCGACGAAAGAGAAGGAACAACATGCATTTCCGGGCGCTGTGGTGTTGGCGACTTTGATCACTGATGGTTTCAGCAACATAAACGGGCCTAACCTCCAAGCCCTAGGCCCAACAGAGATCTCGACATCGGCATTTGGGTACTTGGAGTCGCAGTTGAGGCAAAGCTGTATAAGCCTTAGACTAGACCCATTGAACTCGAAACTCTACAAGCCCTTTGTAATCCCTCGAGGCTCTGTAAGCCCTATAAGCCCTCCTTTCGCTCTAAACCCACCAAGCACTCTGAGCCTGTCATATAGGGGCCTGAATAATTGGAGTAGGGTTTTGGGGTCGTATTATACAAGAAATTTGAACAAGGAGCCCTAAGGAATACTAATGGTCTTTGTTCAGGCTTCTACCCGAAACCCTAAACCCCAGACCCTGAACAGTAAACCCTAAGCCCTAGTAACAGTAGAGCTTCTTTTGCCAGGCCGTCTGGCATCGACGACCTCAAGGCCAAGTCAAGTCTTCGGCTGACTTGCGAGAAGCCTCAACCCTAAACCCCCGATCCCTAACTAATTAGAGTTTAGGGTTTAGGGATTAACCCCTGAACCCTAACTAATTAAACCCTACCTGGACCCCAAAGAACCTACCTTTTTTCGGGTTCCTTCATATGATTTCTTCATATAAGTCCTTGGACAGTAGAAGCGAGCCACGATATGTTTGAACGGGGCTCAAGAACATGCTGGAGCCTGCCCTTCAGGTCATTAGGCTTGTAGCTCAGGGGGCCCAGAGCAACTGGTTTGGAATAGGCTGTCCCTCCCACTGCCGTGGGGCCGACTTAGGTCTTTGGCCTGGATTTCCTTTCGGGCTTTCCTAGCCTACCGTCCTTCTGTGCCGACTCAGGTCACTTCCGAGGCTCCTCCTGAGCCTCCCCTTGTGCGCAGGCGCCTTCAGGGCTACTTGCGTGAGCGACGAGCTTGATCTTTCCCTCCGACTTGGTTGTGTTAGTCTAAGGGTTAGTTCCTCTCCCCCTTTGGGTTCCCCTAGCGCCTCGCCTGAACCCCTTGCTTATGACCCAAGATCAATCCAACCCTGCTTCGCCTGGTGCTTCAGACGGCTCTTTCGAGTTCGTGAGCCCGGCTGCTTCACCCATTGCTGGCCCTCGGGCCCTGGAGGCAGAGTTTGCCTCGGCGGCTGCTTCGTCGCAGTCCCAGCCTCTCTCTCCCTCACCCTTAGCGTTGGGGTTACTAGTAGGTCCCCGGACCCCCTAGAAAGGGTTTACCTGTGCGAGTGAAACAGGAATCCATTGCAGGGCCTCGTGCCCCCGGCTCCTCATGAGTCCCTGATTGTGGGTTCTGTTGCCCCTTCTCCAGCCGGAGAACCTTCTGCTCCCCGTCCAGACCGGCCCTTGTCTGATCCCTTCTGGCGACTGTGGTTTCTGAGCCTCCTAGCCACATCCTCGACCTTGGTCGCGGCTGTCTGGGGACGGGAGGCACCGGATTGCTCGCGACCCAGCTGGAGGGAGGGTCAACTATCACCCACGGCTTTGCTTGCGAGGCGGAGGCTCGAATTTATTTTGCTGCAGCTGGCCTGCCTTACCCTAGGTCGCCATGAGCGAGACCCTGCCTTTTGTATGTGCCGAAGAGGGCTCGGTGGAAATAGTCGAGCTGTCCTGGCCCATGCTGCAAGACCTGGAGATAGACCAGGCTCCCGAGGCTTGCTTGGCTTACGCGGTTATGCGCCGGCCCGGGGGCTTCCTTCTGTGCGTGCCAAGTGGCTTCTTCAGAGCCTCCGACCTGCTTGCCGGACAATCAGCCAACGAGGACAGTGCTCTGATGGGGCCTTCCATCGAATATCTTGTGACCCCGGTGGTGCTGACAGAAGCGGGCGACTGGGCCCGAGCCGACGATCCAGCCCCCGTGCCTTGCGTGGTTGTCGACCTAGCCTTTCGGGCTGCAGACGCCGTGACTCAGGCCGACCTTGCCGACACCGGTGCCAGGCCCTTCTTGGCGGACCGCCCCGACACTTTCCCCCTTGCCTCCGAGGTCGTTCGAAAATTAATGCCGGAGCTGGGTTGCGGAAGAAGACCTTGCAGGAATAAGAAGCGGCTATCAGACGGCTGTGTCCGAAGCACCGGCTCGGGCTGCAAAGTTGGGGGCTCGGCCCAAGAAGACCACCGTGGCCCAACTGGCAGCTCAACAAGAGTCTTTTGCAAAGGCCCTAGCAGGCATCTCAGAACAGCTTGGCCCTTCTTGCGAAGCCTCCCGCTGTGGAGCAAGGAGCCGTCGATGGTGGGCCAGCCGCTCCTTTGCCTCGGGCTGCCGCACCTCCGAGTTGTCGGCCCCAGTGTCAGGAAAGGCCCCCCAGCAAGGTTTCCTGGCAAAGGCCCGGAGCTAGGCCCTCCTCCTCGTGCAAAGGCTGCCCCGACTCCTGTGATACATCAGCTGGAGGAAGACGATCCCCTCCACTTGGAAACTGGCGGCGCGCAGGAAGCGGGTGGAACAAACACCCCCGTTGCGGAAGCCATGCTGCTTCAGAGCCGGGCCCTGGCTCAACTCGTATCTCAGCTCGCTCAGAACGCCGACCCCCTTGCGGACCTTGGGGCCCCTGCCTCTCCGGGAAGGGGTTGCTGCAGTGGCAGCTAGCCCAAATTTCAGATATGCTTGCAGCGGACAGCCCGCAAGGTGCCGCGGATCTGGCTGCCCAGGCCATGATAATGCTGGAGCAAGTTGCGGTCGACCGGGGCCGCCACGAGCTTGCACTCTTCAACCAGATCCGCCTGTGAGCTTGTTCGCCACCCACCAGGCTACTCCGACAGCAGCCTTAAGACCTTTCGCCCCCCTCGCCGATGCAAAGCTGGTCTCCTGCACCATAGCTTTCATGAAAGAGTTGGACACCTTGTCGGCGAAGCGTTTGGAACTGAGCGGTGCAAAGGGAAAGCCGCCTCCGGCCCCGCCTCCCACCGACGACGGTGGTACTCCCGAGCCTCCTCTTTCAAAGAAGCAGCAAAGGGCTCGTGCCTGGGCAGCGGCGAAGAAAGCAGCCCAACCTTAGAGCATGCCCAGCCTAATTCAGCAGCTCCTCTCCCCTCCCGTTCTCGACACCTGCCGGAACGTGCTTCCTGTGAGGGGAGGGAGCCACGACATCATGCACCACCAGCCAGGGAGACACCCGTCCCTTTTGAAGACGATGCACTCTCCTGTGCCCACGGCTTTGCACCACGACCGGGCTCTGCTTTGTCAGCCGCCCCGACACCTCGGCCGCAAAAGGAAGCTGGGCGATGTACCGTGCCGCCCCGGGTTTTTCTGACAAGACTGACTTTTGGGCCTGGGCCGCAGCTTTGCCTCGGCTGCTTTTGGCCACCAAGACCGCCTTTGCTCGGTTCTTTGCGGGCACCATGCACCTCCGCAGGGAAGATCATTCCCCCTCTGCCGCTCTTTTTCCTCTACCTCTACCCCGACCGGGGGCATTTGGCAGAGAAGACTCTGGGCATGCTAAGGTTAGTCGCCAGGTCTTGCTTGATCGGGTTCTCCATATATATGCGTTATGGCCTTGAACTTCATGCACTCCAACCTGCGACCTATCCCTGCGCATGTCCTGCAGAAGCCTCCCTCCTCCTGCCAATCCAATGTGTTTGTGCGCCTGGAGCTTCTGATAAGAGCGTGTTCCCGAGCCACCGACTCCCTCGACTGCGTTCCTGTCTGCGCCGGCCGGCGCGGAGCGCACTTGGTCGCGAGGCTCAGCGAGCTTACTGCCCACATTGCCCGACTTGGCCTGCAGGGCTCACCTTATCCCGGCAGTGCAAAGCTCGGCCATGTCGGCCACCGTGACGACGGGCCCCCTTCTCTCCGGCCCTACCGAGACAGCGATGCAAGCCGCATCCTTATCAAGGGTACAGGCTCTTGGGACCTTAGCCGGCACCTCCTCTTGGATCCCGAACTTTTCTTGCGTTTTCGGGATCCTCTTGTGCTAACGGGCATTCCCGAGAACGACCTTCCCTACCCTGATGCCGCTGCCACCGCAAAGGAGACCATTTTGCCCCTTGTGCGCTTGTGGGATCAGAAAGGGCTCCTCCGGCTCTTTCCCGGCCCGAGGCACCCGAGGCAGCTCTGCAGGACTTTTGGTGCATACAAGTCGGACCAGCACGACAGACTTATAGGAGACCGACGTGGGCCTAACAGTCGGGAAGGCCGGGTCCTTGGACCCTCCCGCTGGTTGCCCCCAAAAAGCCTCTTGACTCAGGTTAGCGTGCCGCGCTTTACTTCTGTTCTGGTCGGGGCCTCCACCGACAGGGCCGACTTTTACCACCAGGCCCTTATAAGTGACGCACGCGCGGCTTCGAACTGCATCGGGCCACCGCTTTCTGCTGAAACCTCCAGGGCACTGCGGCCCTCGCCCGTCTTCTCAAGCCGCCTTTGAAGCAGAAGTGTTCCCTGCTTGCTGGGCTTCACGACAGGTCCTGCTTCTATGCTGCCTTCGGGACCCTGTTCCAAGGCGACCACGGAGGGGTCGAGTACGCGACCTCAGCTCACCAGGCGTTGCTTTGCGAGCATGGGCTCCTGCATCCTAGCTCCCGCCTCCTTGGGCAACACGCCGTGCCGCGCACCTCGTGCTACGAGGCTTTGGTCATTGACGATTATTTTAGCCTCTCCGTCGAGTGCCTCGATGACTTTGCCGAGTGTCCTTCCGAGGCCCTTCCACAGAAACTTCTTTAGGTGGAGTCGATGCAAAGGGTCCTTACGGCCCAAGCCGCGTATGCTTCTGAAGATGTGCAAGGCTCCCCTGCAAAGGACCTGCTTCGAGCCCTCACCTACCAGGTTGCCGGCGCCTACGTTGATTCCTCCGTGCAATCTGCTCTGAGGGGCAGATCCTTGTTGGAGCGCCGGCAGGCAAACGCTTCGCCCTGGCCTTCCTGTCTCTAAAAGCCTCCGCGCTGCCGGGCATTTCTAAGGAACTTGCCGCTGCCTTCTCTGGCTCCTGGACCTTTGCTTTGCTCTTCCGGAAGCCCCTTGCAGCCTGCCTTGGCTCCTTCTTTAAACTCGGCCTTGGCCACGTCTCTGGCCACCCTGGGTCCGACGTCGTCCCACTCTCTAGGGCCCAAGCTCAGGAGCTTGTGCTCCTTTCGGTCCTGCCTCCCATCGCTGTGTTGAATGTTGCCCTGCCTCATTCCAAAAGGTCTTTTGCACTGACGCCTCACTGCAGAAAGGGGCTGTTGTCAGCGCTCGCGTCTCGCGGCCGGTTGCAGAGGCTCTGTGGGCCCATGCCAGCCGACGGGGCCAGTACACTTTGCTGTCCGGGACCACTTCGGCCTTGGATTCTGCCGACGCCTGCCCGAGCACTGCTCCTTTCCGGGGCCCTCCTGGCCGAGGTCCCGCGACTGAGAGCACCTTCGAGTCTCCTGTTGGGACCTGCCTAGTCGACCCCCGTGCCCGGCCTCTTGGTCTTGATTTCGACTTCCTTGAGGTTGGGTGCTCTACTGGTGCTTCCGCTGCTGCGAGAGATTTAGGATTTAAGGCTGCTGATGACCCTCAGGTCCTTGATCTTCTTCTTCATCTTATCGCAAACAGCCGCCTTCGCTCACTCCTCTGCTGTGTCCCTCCTGGGGCTTTCCCCTGGATCTCCCACCGGGATCGGTCGCTTGGGAAACAAGCAGATACGTCGGGAAAGAAGGAACGCCTCGCCCTCCGTGCCCTTGTCCTGTTCAGGACCTGTGCTTTCTACGGTGTGCCCTGCATCTGGTCCACCAGCGCAAGTCCGGGATATGCAAGCACCCCTCCTTTCTTCGATGCCTCGAGCTGCAGACTGCAACCTCTGGGAGCTATCGTGGTTGCGTTGTCGGTGGGCCCGGAACCTCTGACCTTGGCTGGGTTGCTGTTTGGACTCCCACCCCCGGCCTTGATCGCAAGTGCACCTGCAAGTTCCACGCAAAAGGGCATGATCGTTCCGCGTTCCCTTCTTTCTCTTCCGAAGGTGCTCGGGCTATTGTTTCCTGTCTCTGGGCCGGAGCTCAACTTGTCGAGCCTCCCGAGGAGCCCGCCTGTGGGCTTGAAAGTGCCTTGGTTAACGATGTGCTTTTGACTTCCAGGTGGCGGGCCGACAGGACCTGGCGGTGGCGGCAGCGGCGGCATATAAACGTGCTTGAGTCTGAAGCCGCTCTGCAGCTTTACAAGGACCTCGTTGTCTTCGGAGGCGACCTGCGTTTTAGCCTCCTCACCGATTCCAGTGTTGTCCTCGGCTCCCACAGAAAGGGCCGGTCCACTGCGTTTCCCCTCGCGCCCTCGCTGCGCCGGGCTTCTGCGATCCTTCTCGCCGGGGGCTTGTATCCCTCCTTGCAGCTCGCCCCTACCAGGTTGAACCCGGCCGACGACCCGACACGTGACAAGCATTGCCGCGAAGCGTGCGGGATCCCTCTGCATGAGACGGTTGACCCCTGGTCTCTTGCTCGATTCAGCCACCTGTCGAGAGCCCGCGCCAGTTGGGTAAGGCTGTTCCTTCTGGTTGGTTCTCCTCGGCCGTCCTCTTCTGCATCACGCCTGCGGGCTGGAATTTTTCGAGACTCCCGCTTTCACTGCAGGTGTCTCTCTACTCAGGTTCGCCGCCTTCTCGACTTCGACTCCACCCTCGGCTTCCCAGGCTCCCAGGAACGCCGCCGACCTTCTGCGCCAACGCGGCCGTGCTCCTGGCCTCCTTCCCTCTGGTCGACCGGTTCAGCCTAGGACTAAGGCTAATAGGGGCCCCCTGACCGCAGCCTTGGCTCTCTGAGGTGCTTGGCGCTACCCTGGAACAGCTGCTGCAGAGGAGGCCTTTTGACCACGAAGTTTTCTGCGAATACCTTGTTGCCTTTGGCAATGACCTCTACGCTTCTAAAAGACCTTATTGGCATTTCGCTGAGACTATCAATTCTTTGACCTCCCTAAAGCCTTCACTCCGACGCCAAGTTCAGGGAGCCTGGGACCTTGCTTACACGTGGTTGGCAGAGGAACCGTATGTACACCACACTGCTATGCCGGCTCAGGTCCTGGTCGCTGTCCTTAGCACTTGCTTTTTGTGGAGTTGGATCAAGGAGGCCGGGGTCTTCGCGCTCTGCTGGGGAGCGCTTCTTCGTGCTGGCGAAGCTGTAAAGGCTACAAGGAGGGATGTCGTCTTTCCCTCCGACGCCCTCTGGGGTCAAACCTATGTCCTCATTAAGATCCAGGAGCCGAAGACTCGTGGCCGAGCTGCCCGTCACAAAGCGCCAAGCTGGAACCCTACGACCTTATTGAGGTCTGCCGACTCGCCTTTGAAGCCCTACCAAAAGGCGCGAAGCTTTGGCCGATGACTCCGCAGACTCTGCGCCGCCGCCTTTACGATGTCTTGACGCGGCTTGGGATGCCAAGGTCTGGTGGGAGCGAGCGCCCTCTAGACCTTGGGTCCCTTAGACCTGGTGGTGCTACTTATTTGCTCCAACAAACTGAGGACTCCGAGCTTGTCAGAAGACGAGGCCGCTGGATATCTCACCGTGTCATGGAGATCTACCTGCAGGAGGTCAGTGCGTCTACTTTTCTGGCAGACTTGGCGCCGGCCGCTCGCGAGCTCGTTCTTGCGGCGTCCTCGGCTTTTCCCGACCTTTTGCGAAAGGCACGCGATTGGACGAGAGCAGGTATTCCTCCTGCCGTATGGTTTTCCCTTTGGCCTCATCTCTGAATGTACACCTGGTGACTGAATATTCTGGGGGCTTTTGGGCCTTCTTTATTTCTCCGCCTTGCTGATGTACAATTCCAGCGCCGGGCATGTCACCAGGAAGCAATTCCATCGGAGGAAAAGATTGAGTGCGAACTTCTGGACAGTAGAAGCGAGCCACGATATGTTTGAACGGGGCTCAAGAACCCGCCCGACCCTCCCGAGAGATCGCCAACAGGGCCTTCTTTATTTCTCCGCCTTGCTGATGTACAATTCCAGCGCCGGGCATGTCACCAGGAAGCAATTCCATCGGAGGAAAAGATTGAGTGCGAGCTTCTAAAAAGCTAGGCTATTTGGGGTTAAGGTAAACCCTAAACCGGTACGCCTTTCAAGATCCGAAGTGCGTCAAGTCCACAGTTCTCGCCTTGAAGGCTCCCAGGGTTTAGGGTTTGGGAAAGCACTTGAAATTCAGGCGAAGTGGAACGGTAAGTTCAAACAACGTCCCTTTAAACTCCAAAGCCGCACAAAACACCGAAGCCGTATAAATCCTAAACACTAAACCCTCAGCCCTGAACCCGAAACCCTCTGCGTCGTATACCCTGGGCTTTGATGCCCCCTGTCCTCCCAGAGGAGGCCCATACAGAGTGGGTCCGTATCTACACGGGTTCCGTGAAAGAGTTCTACAAGGGTTGGTCTAAAGGTTCGATTGATCTGGGGGCCTTGGTAATTGGAGAGGGGTTCTGGAGTATAGTATATTACATATTCTGACTATTGTAAGAAACTGAAAGGAACTGTATCGGCAATGACCCGGGCTTTAATTCAACAGTACATGCATGGGCAATGACGCAATTCCGCGACACATGCCTGTGGGCCGGCAGGTATGGTCACCGCATGTGTTTCGGAATGCGGTGAAGTTGATCATTCCGCTGCGTGCCAGTACAGCAGTAGTTGCTTTTCACCGAAATTGACCAGCTGCCTTTCGTAACGGTGCATGTACTACAGCGCATTCCAAACGAAAACACCATGTATGGTTGCTTTCCTTTGAAGAGGAGCTGGAGAACTTGGCAAGATTCACAGGGTTAAAACTCCTGTATTTGGGTGCTGAAACGTGGTTTGATAGAACTCACGCGCGTGTAGTCAAGATTGCATGGTGGATGTTGGAAGACATGCTTGCCTGGAATTGTCTTGAACTTCCCATACTGCTGTGTTGTCTCAAGACCATCACGTGATTATCACATGAAGCCAATCGTGCTTCTTGTTGTGGCTCATTTGCCGCAGTCTGCCTTCTCCGGACAAGCTGGCAAGCCTGAATGCCCATGCATCAGCAGCAGTTCCAGTGGTTATGAGCAGTTGCAGCGCGAGGTGGTTGCCTTAGGCTTTCCTGGCGATTATGGCCTCCAAGGATGCCAGGCTTATGATCAAGGTGCAAGTCATCCAACCGTCGATTGCTCTGACAATGCCCACGACTATTGCCAAAATCAGTGGTGCTACGTGGACACAAGCCTCTGCCCCGTGAAGCGAGAACTTCGCATATGCAAATCAAGTTTTAGGTTGTTAGGTTGAACGTAAGTCTAGCATGTTCAACGGTTGAACAGTTCCGCCAACTGTTCTAAATGGGTGGAGAAGTCAGGAAGAATGTGCAGCAGACGGAAACAAGTTGGGCAGCGATGCGTCACCTCACTGCCGCGGGCGACCCCATGTTCAGTCAACTGTGGTCAACGGCCATTGGAGCGACTTGGACGCTTACAACATTTTTACACCCTCCGTCGGATCTGTAAGAGTCTTGGAATTAGCATCCTGGAATCCTGGGTGCAGAAGTTACAGCAGAAACAATTATGATCAGTTTTCATGTTGGTGGCTTCGCTGATCTGCAACGTTAAACGTTGGAATTCCTATTATACTTCGTTGGGCCAACATGTTTGAAGACCAAGGCTACGAAACGTGTGGATTCCTCAATACTTACAACAGGACAGGAGTAATTCAAGCACCAGTGGCGAATACAATCCTCAAGATTGCGGTGCATGAATGGGAGCCTTGGAGGCAGTATTTGGTTTGTTTATTCAGCGCGATTACCAAGGCACAGGAGAAGAATCAGCAAGGATATGTGCTTCCAAAAAATTTCAGACCTTACACAGTCCAATCAGGTCGTTGCACACAGGTTTTAAGCCCATGATCAGAATTACCCTAAACCCCAAACCTAAACCCTGAACCCTGCAAAGGCACCCTTTCTCTTCAAATCTTCAGATTCGAAGCACTCGTTTGCTGGACCGACTTTCGGCTTCTTCAGGAAGTGCGTGGAGGAGCTCGTGCCGATAGCCACCACATAGGGGGGTTTTGGGCCTAGGTCTTGGTTTTATGGGTCGAGGATAGGACCCTGATTCGAAATCTTCGGAGGAGTTCGTGCCAGAACCCGAGATACAGGTGGTTGACGTGCCTGCCATGCCAGAATCCTTGGCGAGGTTCGATAGCATCTACACAGCCTGTGTTCACGATGTCGCCATTGGAAACGTGGACCTTTGTGTTTCCGATATGTGGGTTCTGCCAGATCGCGCGCTTCTGGTTCAGTTTCTGCCGGCCTTGAGACATGACCACTTTTACCTGGTGGTTCGCAAGATGGCAAGACAGGTTAGCCTGTACGATCGGCTTACAACGCCTTTCTCCCCGTTTACGCTACGGGGGTGGATGACCGTGCTTGCCTACCTCACCTCTGTGTCCACGGTTCTTTGGCTTGCCCTCCTTTGCAAGATGCAAGGACAGTACGACGAGTTCTTGGACGAGAAGGTGGAGTGGGCAAACTTGGACATGGAAGATGCGTTTGCGAAACTGGAGGATGCAAGGGACGAGTTGGAAAAGGCACGACTGGAGCCACGAAACGCCGAAGCCGTCGCCAAAGCGGAAAGCACGGTAAAACAGGCAGCTTTGGATCATGCCAAGAAGCAAAGACACGAAGAAGAGCTGGAAGCTGGGTTGAAGGCTAATAAAAAGTTGAAGTTGCTTCAGTGGTCTAACCTTTGTCAATGCGCAAGCGTGCGGCAGAATTTGCAGCTGCTTGCGAGTACCTGGTACGATGTCTGGGCGCATTTTCTCGGACAAGATATGATCTATGAAGGCGACAAGGTACCCGGAGCCTTCAAGATGTTTAGCCTAGCCTTTGCTTTCTTCAGCATTGTTACGCTGGCAACCTACACAGCGAGTCTCGCAAGCATGCTTGTTGCAGAGAGAGAGCTGGTTGGCGAAATCAGCAGCATAGAGGATGCCATTGCAAGACAGTACACGCTCTGTGTGCCTGATGTGCTGCGCAAGTCTGTCGAAAACACATATGGGGAGTTGAAGATCTTTGCATGCAGAGAGATTCAGCTATGCCCCCGCGAGATGCAGCTAGGGAACTGTCAAGCGATGATTGTGTCGGAGGAGGTCATATCAAGAATGCACGCAGGCCGGATCTTAGAGGCTGACTGCAAAGAGAACAAGACCTTGTGTGAGGACTCTGAGGGGAATCCTCGCAATGACTGTGGCCTCATCGCAGTTGGATATGTTCTCACAAGTGTGCCAATTGCATTCCCGGCCAGCAGCAGGCTCGTGAAGAGCTTGTCATGGGCATCTGCCTCCCAGCATGCGAAGGGGACGATGCAGAGCGAGATGCGAGCTCACTCTCACGAGTTTCCGAAGTCAATCTGCGACGCGCCGACACAGCAAAGAACTCTGGCTCTTGGTGCCGAGGACCTCAGTGGCATCGTCATCATATCTGGCTTCTTTTCTGGATTGGCACTTCTGCGCTTTCTTTGTACACAGTACTACGTCCACAAGGAGAAGCAGAAGAGCAGAGAGAAGATTCGGCAGGACAGGGAATACAGAAGGATGGGGGCGCAAACTCTCGGGAGCTCGTCACGCAGGATGCAAATCGTTGTAAAGGAATCCGAGTGAGGGTTATGGGAGTTTCCGAAAATTTGGAGTACCTCATTCTGGGGTCCTTATAATAAGGATCCTGCTAATTAGGATACTATATTAGGGTCCCCTTCTTTCGGAAACTCCCTAATCGACTCGAAAGGAGTTGGCCTGCAATATAGTTGTCTTTTTCGTGCACATTGGATGCAGCAGCACATTCAAGATGGCTGCACAATCCCTGTTCAAGCCATACAGACCGTTTTGCCAGCAACCTTGCATGGTGTTCGAGGGTCGAATGTGACAAGGCCGTTTGTGCGCTTTGAGATGTGTGGCTTCAGGCTTGACGCGTAGTCTTGGCCAGGATTGGGGTGTGGTTGCAAAAGCTTGCGGATGTCGGTTGGTTGTCAGGGATAATGTCAGCGATAATGGCCACGGTCGTGTTCATGCCGCTGGAAACGATGCCGAGCGTGCCATGTGACGTGGGCATTGCTAAGCAGAGTTGTAATGGCAAGACGAACTATACTGTGAGATCATGGTTTTGGTGGTCTCTTTGATGACGGCGATTATTCTGTTGACATAGTGAGACTTATAGTTGCAGCCCTCATGATATTGACCACCAGGGAGGGAGAGAGGGAGACACATGGAGAGAAGAAGAATTTGTACGGCGAAAACAGTGATGCTGACAACGATCGTTGCCCTGATGGCATCAACAAGAGTTTCGACGAAACTCGCGAACAGTACCAAACCGACTCAAACAATGTCCGCCTGGGGCTAACGGTAGCAGTAGTGTCAGTAGGGGCGATTGTTTCGTGGGCATTTTTATCTAAATTCAAAAGAACCACAAACTAGTACGTTAAACTGTAAATCTAAGAAGAACCCCCAAAGTAGTATTGGTGATTTACAAACTTTCCATCTCAGAAGTGAGCAACCCGGTCTAATGCCTTGGAATGAACTTTCATGGAGTGCACCAATGTCTTGAGAGCCATCCAGAATTTGCTTTCCGCTACAAACTGCCGCGTGTGGCCCGAGCTTTCGTTCTGTAAACCCTAAACCCTAAACCCTTAAATCGTAAACCCCTAAACCCAAAAACCCAAAACCCTGAAACCCCTAAACCGTAGACCCCCTAAACCCTAAACCCTAAAACCCCGGGCAAGGGTTCCTTTCAAAGACATCAAGCAATTCCTAAGAAGGAACCCCGGGTATGTTGAGAGACTGGCGCGGCTGGCTGCTGAGTCTCTGGCTTTGGCTGAACGCTCCCTGCTTGGATGGAAAGCTTGCCAGGGAAACTCTCGAAATGGGCCTTACCACCGTCGCCTGGCCAGAAAAAGTGCAGCAGTGACGATTTCAGATTGTGGCAGCTTCCGATGGCTTGTGTTGTCACAGAGTTTGTAGAAGGATGACGTGGCGGCAACCCTAAACCCTGAACCCTAAACCCTAAACCCTAAACCCTAAACCGGGGCCTCCGTGCCTTCAACACCTCTTTGAAGAGCCCCGAAGGCGCCTCAGATCCTAATTTGAGGGGTCCTTACACAAAGGATCCGACGATTTAGGGTACGATACTAAAGCCCTAAACCCTAAACCCTAAACCCTTAGGATCCCTTAGTTTCGGAAGCACCCACATAAGCAGGGCAGCAATAGCAACGATAACATCAATACAGCGAAGTCGAACACGACCATTGTCACGATTACCACCAGGAGCATTATCACCACCACCGACGGACAACAGCAACAGCAAGAGAAACCGAGAAGCCATAGCAATAACAACAGCAGTACATTATACAAGAGAAACCAACAGACGTGGCAGAAAGAGACGGAGCCACAGAATATTCACAGATCTATCGGCCGGGAGAACAGGACTCGGACGTACTGTCGAAATCCAACAGTGGCAGTGCCCTTCATAGCATACTGTTGATAGCAGTATACACGCCAGGATGGTCAGCAACATGACCGGTCGTACGATTAAGAGTCCTGAGAACAGACGCAGCAAGAAGCACCTGAGAACTTCAGCATGCCCGAGCCGAAGGTCAAGTTCAAGCAGGACATCATTGACCTCTTCACTTCGAAGAAGTATGCAACCAGAGCTGCGTTGGACATAGGTGCTGGAAGGGGCTCGACAACTGCTGCGTTGGCTGTCAACTTCGCTGTCGTTGTGGCCATCGAGAAATATTGGGACCTGGCAGATGAGATTGGATGCTGTCATTTGGAGTCGAACAAGCTGCTCAGAAAGGACGGAAGTGAAATCACCAACATTGTGCGGCTGCATATGGACACTCTGCTGCCGTTTGCCTTCGCAAACCTGGTCGACCAGAATTTCTCAGCAGTGGTTATCGATGCCCAGCACGATTTTGAAAGTATCGCACGCGAGACTTTCCATGTCTTGCGCGACATCCCGTGCTGTGTAGAAACCATCATATATCACGATTATTGCTTCGAAGACGTGTTCCAGACAATTCTGTGGTTCGAGCTGTCAGGCCTGCTCACCTTTCAGAAGCTGCTAGCTGGCAACCTTCATTGGCTAAACCCTAACCCCTAAAAGAATCCCTAAACCCTATAAACCCGAAAATAATCCCTAAACCCTAAACCGTAGGGTTCAGGGTTTAGGGTTCGAAGCCAGGTCCTCAACCCTGAGCCCTTCAACCATGAGCACCAAACCCACAACTACTTAAAGGATCATGGGACTTAGTAACTAGGGTTATATTTCGGGTAACTCTACTTATAACTACTTATAACCCCAATTAAGGCACTTATAACCTTACTTACTAAGTCCCATGATCCTCCAAGTACCATCAAGCCAGGTTCATGGGGGAGCCCTCGAAGTCCCCCTTCTGCAAAAGCGCCGGGGAGAATCTCGAAAGAGCTGAAGGGGTGGCCATGAAGGTGAATCGAAGGCCTCTGAAGGACCCTCGAGTCCTGTCATTGTGCTTCTCGCTCCTGTCGTGTTCCTTGTATGAGGATGACTTTCCAGTTTTTGCTGGTGAAGGCATATCGCCATTCCAATTTTTGAAATCTTTTTGTAGGTCTTGCCGCTCAAGTTTGTTGTTGTTGTTGTTGTTGTTGTTGTTGTTGCCATTCCTTTCATTGCTGCTGTGACTCTCGTTAGCATCCCCGTCACTGTAACCGCTATAGTCAGTTAGTTCAACAACAAGCCCGTCACAGTCGTGAGTATTGTACCTGTACAGCGCTAAACCCTTAATGTTAGGGACCCAAAAAGCACATAAGCATAAGCATTTCATGGGGATATCCCTACCTTGTTGGGCTTTGTTGTAAGGGGATTTATATGGGATATCCCTATCCTAATTTTTGCTTATGTGCTTTTTTGGGGACCTATAATGGGCTCTTTTGTGCCTGGTGCTCTAGACCTAGATGCTCATGCTCACCCATAGACGGTATCCCTTTACCCAAAACAGTCTATGAATTCAGGCTGGATCTCATAAAGGGGTTCCAAATCCCGCCCCCAAAAGTGTTACCCTAAACCTTAAACCCTAAGCCTGGACCCGATGTTGCAAGGACTTCCACGAAAAGGTGGAGGAAGCATTTCGAGGCTCCTTCGCGCGCGGCGGGACCCTGGAGAAGAGGATCCCTCTCCCGCTAAACCCTCAACCCGAGATGCATGGGGTTTTGGGCTCTACGAAGGGTTTTTGCGGAGCGTCACTCCGGCCTCCTGAGCATTTTCAGTTGAAGCAGGTTTACAGGGTTTCTTTTCAGGGAGGGTTCTCGGGTTTAGCATTTTGAGTCTCGAGATTGGGGTTCAGGGTTTCGGCTTAGGATTCGGGAGTCTCAGAAGCAGATGAAGAAGGGGGCTTGGATTGGACTCTGTGGTGGGATCCTCATTGACGCCTACATCTCTGAAGCCCTCGTTGCTAGCCTAAGCCTTGAACTGCCCCGAACCCGGAAACCTAAACCCTAAATCCCCAAACCCGAAACCGTTTAGAGTGAGCCCTTGGCAGGCTAAATGGAACACAGTGGCTCCTCTTTTCGCCGCATTCGTCGATCGGCATTCTGACCATGCATTCCTGGCCACAGCTTTCGCATCTCAGCTTCCTCCGGAGGCGAGGCTGCTGCGAGGTTGTTCGGGCTTTTACGGTTTGGGGTTTAGGCTTCCATGTTCAAGGGGATCCAGAGTTTGTAACCACACTGACAACGCAACAAGGGGACCCATAAAAACGTGACAGTGAAGAATAGTCGCAGTGGCGCAGTATCGACATTAAGGCTTGGTTCTGTTTTGCAGGGGTGGCAAGCAAGGGCCATCCTTGCTGTTATGCGGAAAACTTTTGGACCCTCGTATTCCGCGAGACTGGCTTGCTTTGCTTCTGTTGTAGACTCCACCACTCCAGGGCTGTATTAGGCTGTGTGATTGCAGTAGTAATTCGCGGCTCTTCTTCTTCTTCTTCATGTTGCACCCCATCTTATTGGAGCAGTTTTCGTGATATCATGACTCCTGGCCGTCTCTGGAAGGCCTCAGCTGGCTTTCAAGCACTTTCCTCGTCCTGGCGGCACGAAGCTCTTCTTTCAGACCTACCCAGAGTGGGATACTTCTCACAGGCCATCTCTCGTCGTCTACTCCCTGCAAAAGGACAGGCCGTGGGCCCTTCTAGGCGCGGCCGCATTCCGCAAAAGGGCCTCGAAGCTTAGAGTCTGAAGCCTCACGGATTCAAGTTAAGCCCTACCCTAAACCCTAAACCCTAGAGCCCCTAAACCCTAAGCCCCAAAACCCCTAAACCCTAAACCCTAAAACCGCCACATCATGAACCCTGCATTGCCAAGACAACTGTAGCATGTGGCAGTCGTGGTGTTTTGCTGGGAACTCATTGCAGCGACACTTTTAACGCAGCATCCACGGCCGTGCCTCCTCTGTGGAGGGCTGAAGAAAGGTGTGACATCCTGGCCTACATCCTCGCCCCTAAACCCTAAGCCGTGAGCCCCAAACTTCAAGAACAAAAATGGGGCCCTGGTAAAATGAGGTGTGACTTGCCGTACATAAGGGTATACTGTATACTCATATAGGGACGGTACTTAAAGGATCATGGGACTTAGTAACTAGGGTTATAATTCAGGTAACTCTACTTATAACTACTTATAACCCCAATTATGGCACTTATAACCTTACTTACTAAGTCCCATGATCCTCCAAGTAAGGGAACATGAGAGAGGCGTCATGGACCGCGAGTTGCGGCTGCTCCGAATACTTCTGCCGGAGGATCATCCGCTGCGTGAGGAGGGTGTGGGGGGGGGCGGGCTTGGGGTTTCCAGGTTCCTAGGGTTCAGGGTTCAGGATTTAGGTTTAGGGTTCAGGGTTTGTATATAAGAGAGAGATGGGTTGTTGCCGATTAGCTGCTCTTGCTAGGCTGTGACCATAGCTGAAACTAGAACCCGGGTTTTGGCGGCTCGGCTGCAGAGTTCCTTGCGGCTTCTTTCGCCCAAACCCTAAACCCCTAAAGCCCTGAAAACCCCCAAAAACCCTAAACCTAAACCCCTAAACCCCCTAAAACTCCTAAACCCCTAGAACCCCTGATAAACCTTTTTTCCAGGGATGTTAGGGGTTTCGGGATGATAGGGGTTTAGGGATGTTAGGGGTTTGGTATTTAGGGTTTAGGGGTTTAGGGGTTTATGGGTTCAGGGTTTAAGGGTTTAGTATTTAGGGTTGAGGGGTTTAGGGTTCGGGGTTTAGGGGTTCAGGGGTTTAGGGTTTAGGGGTTTAGTGGTTCAGGGGTTTAGGGTTTAGGGTAGTGTTGGGTTTAGGGCTGCGTGGGTTTGCCTGAAACCGTGATCTCCCTGAATCCCAAGTGAGGCTCTTGGACAAGGGAGCCCGATGAAGAGCAGCCCTAAATTGGGTTCTTGAATTGAGTTTAAGTTACCACACTAGGGATCTACAGTAGATACTACGATTTCTTTATGATGGTAACTTAGCTGTTAAATCCCTTAACTCCAAGGGTAAAAGGAGGGACCCGAAATAAGGACCCCTAGGTTTGAACCCTTTATATAGCTGTTATAGACCCATTCTATAGCCCATTATAGGGTAGGGGTCCCCATTAAGGGTCCCTCCTTTTCCCCTTTGATTAACCCAAACCTAGAAGCCTAAGCCCCTACTGCACACCTTCAGCTCAAAGTCCTAAAGCCTTAGCCCTGGCGTGCCGACAGAGGAAGCCATCTGCCTGTCTCAGCTTAAGCCAGGCAGTAGGGTGTACAGGAAGGTTCGTAGGTCTCTAGGGCATTTGAAGTGTCTACAAGTGCTTTCGGGTTTCAATGGGTTTGAAGGGCTTGCGTCAGTTAGTTTGGGGTTGAGCCTTTTCTGGCTAGGCTGGGGCAAAAGCCTCCAACTGGAGGGAACATGCTTGTCAGTTTGAATAGGGTTTTCGGGTAGATTGTAGTGTATGTATATATATATATATACATATAATACGTGTACATGTACATATGTGCTCAATCGGGACAGTATCACTCGAATTACTTGCTAAGTATTGAAACCCTGAAGTATCGAAGCCTACACCCTCAAGTCCGAGTCTTCATCAAAACCTGAGAGAACCCTCGGATGCAGCTCTCTCCTGAAGACCTCTACAACCGCTACACCCTACACGCTACTTAAAGGTTCCTGGGACTTAGGAACTAGGGTTATAGTTAGGGTAACTCTACTTATAACTATTTCTAACCCCGGTTAAGGTACATATAACCTCACTTACTAAGTCCCATGAACCTCCAAGTAAACCCTCGGAGGACCTCGACGGGATTGATGGGGTCATGGGCGTCAACCTCAGATTTGGAACAGGCCGCTTTGAGATGGTTTCGCCTTTCGGGTTTCAGTTTTGGGTTTGGGGTTTAGGGATGTTAGGGGCTTAGGGATGTTAGGGGTTTGGTATTTAGGGTTTAGGGGTTTAGGGGTTTAGGGTTTTAGGGGTTTGGGTTTGGGGTTTAGGGTTGAGGGGGTTGTGGGGGGATCTAGGGTTCTGGGGCTTGGGTTTTGCGGGTTTAGGGGTTTCCCCTGCGCCCCGAGCCCTAGGCCTGAAATCTCAGTCCCGGACCTTCGACCCTGCACAAGGACGGTTTGAATTTTTGATTTCGTTGTTGCTGGCTCGATTCTGCTCGTTTTTTGATTTCTTTGGGTTTCAGGTGACGGCCAGGGTGTTTCCTCAATGGGCACTGCAGCAGAACAGCGCATCACCACCATGCAACCCTAAACGCAAATCCCTAAACCTTAAACCCCAAACCTTAAGCCCTAAACCCTAAACCCTGAGGCTTAAACTGAAAAAACCACGAGCCCATCGAAGCCCCCAATCTGTCGGCCAGGGCTGGCCAAGGATTTGGACCATTTGCTGCATGTGGATGAAGCCTTGGCGAAGCGGATTCCCTCATGAAAAAACGTGCGGTTCATTTGTTTCAAAAAAGGGTGATGAGAGGATGGTTTACGGCGGTTCGAGCTTCGGTGGCTTCTCTTTGTGGCGTTTAGAGTTCGAGTTTAGGGTTGGGATTCAGAATAGTTGGACACGCCATCCCAACACCCGAACATGTTGTGGAACTTTAAACCTATCGCTCTGAAGCCTGCATTGACACACTTTGACATTGAAGCTCAGATTGCGATTGAACTGTCCTAAACCCTAACCCCTAAATCCTAAACCCTATATCCTGAATAAAGGAGAATGGAAGCCAAAGGGATCTGTCAATACACCTTTCGAACGAAAGACCTCAGCCCAAGACTCAACCATAAACCCCTGACCACCCCTGACGGAACAAAGTGAAGGGTAGTCGAGGGAAGAGTAGGGTCGGTAACATGGGAAACCCCTGAACCCCTAAACCCCTAAACCCCTAAACCCCTAAACCCTAAACCCCTAAACCCCGAACCCTAAACCCCTAAACCTTATATACCAAACCCCTAAAACTCGGATACTTGTCTGTAAGAACTCTGAACCCGAAGAGTACTCTGGGGACTGAGAGCCCACGCGCCCGCCCATACCCCACGCACATTCCTCGGAATCATGAAAGTCCCGCAGCGCCGTGATGCAGCTTTTGCGCTCCAGTTCTGGCCCGCTGCTCCTTGACCCCTTCCAAAAAAAATAAAACCCTAAACCCTAAACCCTAACCTTCTGTCATGCCTGCATTACCGGAGCTGTTGAAGACGCCTCGGACCTAGGGGCTATAGGTTTCTCAAGCTTTGGGGTTCAGGGTTTATGCGCATGAGATGAGGTGATCTGTTCTTGTGTCCTGTCACAAGCCCTCAAGGATTCGGATGTTGATATCGTCCCTTGGGGTCTGCGGAGTAGTGCTGCTTGAAGTGGCTGTCATCAGAATTTCGGGAGGTGGTGCAGTCTCTCAGAGCCAGGATCCTCTGTTGCACCTGTCTTCTGGGCTTGAGCCTAAACCCAAAGCCTAAAATCCTAAACCCTAAACCCTAGACCCTAAACCCTATATCCTAAACCCCCTAAACCCTAAACCCACGCACCCTGTTCCGTGCTGCATCCGTGCATTCTGATATCAAAGCCTCGTCTATCCAATGGGGACCTCGGGCAGGAGCTTCAACGACGCACATTGAAGAGCATTGTATCTAGGGAATTCCAGGACACCCGAGCGCATGTCGATAGCACATCCAATGACAGACTGCTCTACTTTCCCCGAGTGACCCTTAGGAGAGTAAGGGGGAGGGGGGTAGGGAGCCTTAATAGATTGAATAAGGACTTGATAAGGGCCTTCGTGGGCTAAGGAAGTATATTTCCCCTCGGTCCCCCTTACCCCCTAAGGGTCCCTGTGATGGCCTCCAATGGTCCAAGAACTGCCAAGGGTTGGATTAGGTGTCGTCTTTCTTGATGTTCCTTGACAGCGACCCGAGCCTTCAACGGCAGAGTTGAACACCGTCATGGGCGAAAAACGCACTATGCTGAACCAAGAGTGTGCAATTCCCATGTTGTAGAGCTGTTGGGGTAAGGCAGGCTTCAGCTTATCAGCAGAACAGACTTCAAAGCTCCAGACCCTAGAGAGGCCCTGAATCTCATGCTCACTGGTGTTCTTTTCATGAGCCCTATAAGGGGCATACAAGGCCAACAGCAAGACCGCCAGAACTCGCAACACCCTCGAGAGCTCATGCATGATGCAGTCCTAAGGCATCTGCCGCGGATGGGCCTGTCATCGATGGCATCTTCTCTGTGCTAGGCATCTTAAGCGTTTGGGTACCAGATGGGTCTTGGAGTTTCGAAAGTCGAACTTCGTTCCGGAGGGTCAAGGTTCGCGGGCACGCGATCCGGGGCAATCTGCGGGCTTCGGGGGTTTAGGGTTTAGGGTTTAGAGTTTAGGGTTTAGGGTTTAGATCAGAGCATAGACTTGCAATGCGTTGGATTGGGTGCTTTCGTCGCCTCACACTGACAAAGTTGCAGTGAAAGCCGTGGCGAAGGGCCCTTCATGAGGCCCCAAAACCGGAAGCTTGTGGGGCCCTCCAAACGATGGCTTGAACGAGGTGCACTTTTGCTCAGCTTCTTGACTGAGCTTAAAGCCCGTACTAAATGCCAGACGAAACGTCCGGGGCGTACCGAGAGACTCAGTATCCCTCAATTAGGGAATATTTCTTAAATCATATTAGGGATCCTACCATAATTTAAGGTATATTCCTGAATTAAGGGATGTTGGAGTCTCTGGGTATCATTCTTCGCACGGGCAGTTATGGCGGAGTGATCTGATCCGGGAAGGATAACCAAAGAAAGAGTCCAGAAGCCTAAGTACCTCAAATCCTTAAACAAAACAAAACGCAAAATTGTACTACTACTACTACTACTACTACTACTACTACTACTACTACTACTCCTACTACTACTCCTACTCCTACTCCTACTCCTACTCCTACTCCTACTCCTACTCCTACTCCTACTCCTATTCCTACTACTACTCCTACTCCTACTCCTACTCCTACTCCTACTCCTACTCCTACTCCTCCTACTCCTACTCCTACTCCTACTCCTCCTACTCCTACACCTCCTCCTCCTACTACTACTACTACTACTACTACTACTACTACTACTACTACTACTACTACTCCTACTACTACTACTACTACTACTACTACTACTCCTACTACTACTACTACTACTACTACTACTACTACTACTACTACTACTACTACTACTACTACTACTACTACTACTCCTGCGACTAGTACTGCTTCTGTAACATCTAAACTCCAAAGTCCTCGACCCGAAACCGTAAAGCGAAACAGTCGTAAACCCTGAGCCGATGCGCTTAGCACAAGAGGCACGCAATGCAGCACTGGCAGAGCACAGCCATGCAACCATCAGACAAGTTACCTAGGGTTTAGGGTTTAGGGTTTAGGGGAAATGTCGTTGTAACTGCGGCACATTCGGTGTCTCCATTTGTGTCCCGTGTTTTCTGACACTCCTATTCCAGATGCATCGTCCATCGCCCGGACATAAAGAGCGATCTTTCTGCTGCCCATCCACGTGAGCTGGATTCTCAGATCTCTGTGCTGGATACTTCCAAGCAAACTCCAAACCCTGGACCGTGCTTTGAGCAGGAAACCCTAAACCCTAAATCGTTTGTGACAACAAACTGAGTGAAATCGGGAAGCACAGCTGCTTCCAAGTCTCGTCAGGGCTGACAGTTCAAGCCAGCCATGGATGTTAGGGTTTAGGGTTCAGTATCCGTGGTTCATTCTGTGGGCAAATCTCGATTTGTAGCACTGTGTCCTCTCAGGTGTGGGTCAGACTAGGGCGTAAGAATAGGGGAAGTGTGATGTATCAGGTCATCCCTCAAGAGTAGCCGGGCGCGCGGCAGCACAAGATGTGGGCTCGAAGTCAGTTCTACACTTTACGAAACCGAACCGCGACAGATCGGCGTCCGAGTGCAGATCCATCATGCTGCGCACATTGACAGTATTGTGGTGGACAGCCTCTTGCCAGAAGTTCAATTTCACCCAGGCTGGGATGAGTTTGCAGATGAGAGCCGGTTCCAGCATCATGTCTTGAAGTTGTTCATAAAAGCTTGTGGCACAGGATGCGACGAGTTGCTGCAATTGTGTATGGTATGATGTCCGAATGCAAGCGCCGCTTCGCTGGCAGGATCCCTCTTGCCTTCTGCAGATCCAACCCGGGCGCTACGGGGAAGCTCTCGGGTCCCCGACCTGCCCGTCGAGCGCTTCCTGGACGCAGCAGCTCTTCGTTGAGCCGCGGCCAGTGTATCCCCGTAGTGGGGGCCATTTGACAGACGCAGCGCTGAGAGGCAGCTTCGCCTTGATGTCTTTTACCCAAAAGCCCCGGCTCACTCCTGGTCCTACCATCTCCGCCCTCATCTACGGTCTGGAAGACTCCGGGTGGCAGTTGAGTGCCAACCTCACAGCTCTGGCACCCCAAAGCACTACCATGGACTGGGCGCAGGCGGGTAGCATATATATATATATATATATATTTTTAATTTTTCATGTTTTTTCTGCATATTTTTCTTTTTTTAGGTTGAATGCAGACGAAAGAAAGAAGGAGAGAAACGGAAGCCGGAAAGAAAGACAGGAGCAAAGAATCAACGGAAGAAAGCCGGAAAACAAGACACCAGGAAGGGGAGATAGAAAGAAAGGACGAAGGACAGCAAAACAGGAAGGAAGGAAAGAAGGACGAAAGAAAAACAACAAAAGACGGACACAAAGCAACTTCGCTGGAGCCGGTCGCCGGGACGCCAGCATCGGACAATGTAGGGTTTACCGTGTAAGCTCTCCAGTCGGAGATGCATGGATCAGGTGCGGGGTCTAGGGTTTCGGATTTGGGCCGGAGGCTGTGGGTTTCCTTACACGTTGCTCATTTACCACTAGTGACAGGCTTCAATCGAGCAAATGATGGTCTAGTGAGTCTAGTGCGATTGAAAGGAAAGCATCCATGGCCAAAAACTAATGACGTCCATGGTGCACTGCGTTTGAGAAGATAGCATGCATGGCCAAACCCTGGTGACGTCCATGTTTCCCATTGAGAGTGTGTAGAGCATGCAAAGCTCCGAGCGGGGCTGCTGCTTTCCAACAACCTCCAAGATCCTACCCTCCTGACGCCTGGCCTCCTCTTTTGAAATCGCCGTGAAAACCAATGACAGGTGTCTATCCAACAACCAAAAACGTGTCGTCAAATGCGCGGCGTGTGCCGCACCACTGCTACTATTAGAACGACGACTACTACAACTAGTACTACTACAGTCAGTCGTGTTACTGATACCAGTACTACGAGTACTACTACTCCTACCACTTCTTCTGCTACTACGACGACTACTACCACTACTACTACTAGTATTACTACGTGTACTAGTACTTTTTTTACTACTACGACTACTACTACTACTGCTGCTAGTACTACTACTACTACTACTACTACTACTACTACTACTACTACTACTACTACTACTACTACTACTACTACTAGTACTACTACTACTACTACTACTGCTACTACTACTACTACTACTACTACTACTACTGCTATTACTGCTACTCCTACTCCTACTACTACTACTACTACTATAGCTACTGCTACTACTACTACTACTACTACTACTACTACTACTACTACTACTACTAAAATACTACTACTACTACTACTACTACTCCTCCTCCTGCTGCTGCTGCTGCTACTGCTACTACTACTACTAAAATACTACTACTACTACTACTACTACTACTACTACTACTACTCCTGCTGCTGCAGCTACTACTACTACTACTACCACCACTACTACTACTACTACTACTACTACTACTACTACTACTACTACTACTACTACTATCACTACTACTATTACTACTACTATAACTACTAGCTGCTACTCTTACTCTTACTTTTTTTGTATTTTTCGTACTATTGCTACTATGCCTATTTTGCTATTCTTTTTTTGGAAAACATCCCTAATTTTAGTCCTGGGACTATCATTGTCCAAGCCTAATGACCAATCTTTTATGTTTGACAGAACCCCCAACTACCGATGGGGTTTAGCAAGATTCCGAAGCGTGGTTAAAGTGCTTTCCCTCTACTATTGCCATACCTTGCCAAAAGTCGATCGCGGATCCCGGACCGTGCCCGCAACAACTACTAGTTTCTGCACTCTTGACGCAACCCGCAAGTACTGATGAGCCGACGCGGTTTTCCACACGTACCAACGGATCCCGAAACACGATCACAAACGGATCTCCGAGTATACTGACGGTTCCAGGCCTGGCTGGGCACGTCTCTGCCTCGGCACTACGCCACCCGGGCAAAAAAAAGAAGAAACACCCACAGGCGCAAAACAAACATTCCCAAAGAAATTCTGCACCCAACTTCGACGGCGTCGCCAGAAAGAAAGCATTATCGAAAGAACACAATCAACAATTAACGAAAGAGGACGGAGCAAAGGAAGAAATGACGCAGAGGAAAGCAAAGAAGAGGATGCCAGGAAGAGACGACACGGCAGCATTGTGGCAGGAGCCTCTGACAGTCCAGCAGCTGCCGCGAGACGAGCGGAGAGGTTTGGGAAGATTTGAAACGAAAAATCACAAGAACAAACATAAAAATGCACAAAAAAGAATTCCAGTCAGAGGTGGAGAACGGTGGCCGCCAGGCTAGATTCCGAAAGCCAAGGAAAACAGAACGAAGGCCAGGAAAATATAGAAAAACAAATCAGAAAAATTAGACAAAATAAACCCTCACTCCGGCGCAGGCTGGGCTCAGTGCTGCGAACATCGTTATCTTGTACCAAGTGCAGCCGTCTCCGTTGGATGTCTACAGCTTTGCCTACGACGGGATGTCCTGGGCTTTCGTGAATCTAGAGACCTTCCCTGAGGGCCAAAACTGCGAAGGTACGTTTGGTGGATGCCTAAAGCTTGGGGGAAATCTTATGGTATTCAGACCACTGGCCGTCTCCGCGGCGGACAGCTTTTTTCAAACCTTCCAGTGGCAGGGGACGAGCTGGTCCCTGATACCGACTGCCAACCTCACGAGCCCAGAGACCACCCTGTCACCAAGTTTTTCGAACCCAGATAATATAGGGGCCTAAATACTTACCAATACTGGTTTTGGGGGTTCCTTATGGCCCTTGTAAGGAAGGCTGTCGTCCGTCGTACTAGGAATGGTTTCCACCTCCGGACCAAGCTGAGGGTAGATGTTTATCATACCTGCCCAGGCTTTGCGGTCGATGGGCAGCATCTCGTCTTGTTCACTGCCACCCTCGCTTCCGGCCCTGTTCGGACCATTCCCGTTCTTTCTGTGCTTCTCGACTGGCTAGTGGCACGTCCAGGGGCTTAAAGACGGCCTTCCTGTTACGGGTTCGTTGTCTCCGATTGAGTCCTAAACCCTAAGCCGAGATCTGTCTGAGTCTAGGCGGTCTTCTTGAGAGTTAGATCGCATTGTTGTTTCTGGCTTCCATGCAATCAAAAACTGAAAATACGCAAGCCGCACATGCCGTTTGCATGGGCTTTTACGATGTTACCAGTCCTCAAGGTGAGGGGTACGGCCCCCAGAGTACCTCGCGCGCTTCCGATTTCTGCCGCGAAGCATCGCGATGTATGACTTTTTCTCTGCCTAGTGTGCCGAAAACGTCGGTGTTGTTGGTGTTTCCTCGGCTTCACCTTTGCCCCAGTGCATTCATGCCCAGAACATGATGTGCAGTCGTTCCTATCAGCATTCGCGTGACCGTTGCATCCGTTCCAAAAAGGATAGTGGCTGCTTGTGTACTGTCTTCTCGTGCACACCAGCCGCGAGCCCGTAACCCAAGAAGCCGTCTAAGCACGAAGCCTTGGAAACCTGGCTCAAATCGTCCACACCCCAACACTTCACACGCCCTCAGCAAGCCTGCTACTGCTAGTGCTAGTGCTAGTGCCAGCGCCAGTGCAAGTGCCAGTGCCAGTGCCACTGCTACTGCTCCTGCTCCTGCTCCTGCACCTACACCTGCTCCTGCTCCTGCTGCTGCTGCTACTGCTGCTGCTACTGCTACTGCTACTGCTACTGCTACTGCTACTGCTACTGCTGCTGCTGCTACTGCTACTGCTACTGCTACTGCTACTGCTACTGCTACTGCTACTGCTACTGCTACTGCTACTGCTACTGCTACTGCTACTGCTACTGCTACTGCTACTGCTACTGCTACTGCTACTGCTACTGCTACTGCTACTGCTACTGCTACTGCTACTGCTACTGCTGCTACTGCTACTGCTACTGCTACTGCTACTGCTACTGCTACCTACTGCTGCTACTGCTACTGCTACTGCTACTGCTACTGCTACTGCTACTGCTACTGCTACTGCTACTGCTACTGCTACTGCTACTGCTACTGCTACTGCTACTGCTACAGCTGCTGCTACTGCTACTGCTACTGCTACTGCTACTGCTACTGCTACTGCTACTGCTACTGCTACAGCTGCTGCTACTGCTACTGCTACTGCTACTGCTACTGCTACTGCTACTGCGACTGCTACTGCTACTGCTACTGCTGCGGTCGCAGTCGGATTGTGACAAAATGCAGCTAATCCAGCGAAAACGTGGACCTTAAACCATAAACCCTAATCCGTGTACATGTCTTCTACTTGCGCGTTTTGCTTACGCTGGGGCGCGGCTCTTGATGAAGGCTCAAGGCTGGGGTTCGCCTCAGCTGCAGCCTTCGAGGTAAGCCGTGTGTGGCAATATCAATACACGCGGTGTACTGTAATCTACCACATTGTGATAGGTGTTTAGTATACTCTGTTCGTGAGAAAGTTTCACGATATTTCCCCAAAGCCGTGTACAGGTGGTTCAGATCTAGGTGGCAGTTTGGGAAGCTTCTAAATTCTCCTATATGGTTTCCTATGGAGGTGCCTACTCATAAATACTTTTAAAGGGCCCCAGAGCTACTTGGAGGATCATGGGACTTAGTAAGTAAGGTTATAAGTACCTTAATTGGGGTTATAAGTAGCTATAAGTAGAGTTACCCTGATTATAACCCCAGTTACGAAGTCCCATGTTCCTTTAAGTACAACCCAAGAATCCAAAAGCGGCTTTCCAGGTACGAATGGGCAGGCAACTTCTGGAGTGGGCCGGTAGCCAACATCACTAACTTCACTTCGATCGTTTCCCGCGTCAACAGTGCTTTGTTGTGTCGGATCTAGAGTTAGGGTTCAGTCGGTTTAGGGTTTAGGGTTAAGGGCCTTAAGGGTGTAGGGTTTAGGGTGAAGGTTTGGTTAGTCACTTTGTGGTTTCTGCGGGTGATGTGTTCGTGCAGCAGTTAGTTTGTTGATGCATTCATGGATGGCGAGGCTTCTCAGCTGATTCAGCTACCCGTCGGAGTCGCTGTGGATGGCAGTTACATGCTGGCGGCGGGGAGTTCAGAAAGCATCTTTTAGTGCAAAAACGTGAGTACTTACTTCGGCCCAGATTTTTACAACCGACTCACAACGTCGCTGTAGGGAGTCGAAATCGAGGCGTTGACCATGTTTTAAGACTTTTGCATGGACGTTTCTTGCCCGCTGCAAGCATGTGAGACATGATTGGAGGTCCTGAAAGAGCAATCACCGTCGCGGAACTATATGTTCATTTACGAACAAAGTGGCGGCTCGTGGGAAGAGGCGAGCAGAAGCCCAGAAGGTCGTAACCATAGCCCCCCTAACTATTTATCGGTCCTTCAGCCAAGGGCGCTTGTTGTTCAAAAGAAGCCATGACACCCCAAAAGTGCATGGGGCGAGCTGAGTTCTACATTCTGGGCGGAGAGGGCTGTGTGTCAATTTGGTTTGCAAGTTGGAGGGTGAAGGATTCGACATGGGGCCTTGCATCGTTCCTAGATGTTTGTGTAGTTGACCCGCGATATGCAAACGCTGAGACTTCACCGCTACGTGGTTGCAATGCAAATGCAAGAAATGACCGGCAATGGTCCCCCCGACGGCTCGAATTCCTGTTGCAGTGGGCACCCAGCATTTGGGCAGGCCATGAACCTTAAACCCTAAACCCTAAAACCCTTAAACCCCTAAACCCTAAAAGCCCCTGAACCCCCAAACCTTAAAATCCTAAACCCTAAAACCCTAAAACCCCCAAAACCTGCACATCTACAGCGACACCCTGCCCCGAAACGCTACATCCCAGACCCCAGCTTTCTCAATTAGTGCAAAGGTGAAAAGGAGGGACCCTTAATGGGGACCCATACCCTATATGGGCTATATTGTGGGTATACAAAAGCTCGATGACAGGTCTCTACCTAGGGTCCTTGTGATGTAGAAGCGAGGGTGAATGCATTGATCCGGGGCTCAAGAATGTTGGAGCCGGTTCTTCAGGTGCTTAGGCTGCGCAGGGGGCGTCTTCGAACTGGTTTGGGATAGGTTGCCCGGCCCATTGTCGTGGGTCCGACTTAGGTGTGGTTTTGGTTGCGTTCCTCCTTGGATTTCTTTGTGCTTCCACCGGAGCGCCGATCATCCTTGCCACCTTTGTTCTTCGAACTCCTCCACTGCTGCGGCGCCAGCTGCAAGGGTACTTGCATGAGCGACGAGATTGACCTCGCCCTTCGGTTTGGTCGTCTTAACCTTAGGATTAGCACCTCGGACCCCTAGGGTACCCTAGTGACCAGCCGGTCATCCCCTGCAGGATGTGAGGGTTGCTTCGTGTTGGTTTGGTCTCCTTCTGAGCCGGACTCTTCCGCCCGTGGGCCTGTGACAGAGGCTGCTTCTGAGCCCCTCTCCCTCTCCTCGGCCCTTCAAGGTGAAGGTTTAACTGGAGGTAGCGCGTCTGTACGCCTTGCAGGGCCTCCGGCCCCTCGCTCCACAGGAGCTAGCAGAGCCACCAGACCGCATTATTGGTTCGTGTGCTCCTGTGCTGGGCAGCAGCCTTCGCTGCCTGACCCTTGGTGGAGCCGCCCCTGCATCTTCTTGATACGGGCCGGAACCTGTCTGGAGACGGCCGAGCTCGCATTCGGCGTGCCTGGAGGGCTGGTTGTTGGGTTAGGGAGGTTTTAGAGGGCCTGAGCACGCCGAACCGCGTGGCCCGAGATTGTCAGGGCAGGAGCCCGCACAGCGGCTGCAAAGGCCTCTACTGCACTCCCGGCCCCTCTCCTGGACGACGACCCACCGACCTTGCTCAAAATGCGGACCCTCTCGCCGAGCTTGGTTCTCAAGGCTCTTCTTTGTCGACTCGGGGCACCAGCTCCCGGCAGTGTATGCAGGCCGAGCTTGCGCTCAGACAGGATGAGGAGCGCGGCCGTGAGGAGAATGGCACCAGCCACGGCCGACGCTGCCCTGCCTCAGGAAGGCCTGAGGACCAGGTACTTAGAGAGGTTTGGCGGCTACCAAGGGCAGCATGCCCTTTAGGCGCTTCGGACAGGCGATGATCATGCTAGAGCAAGTCGCGGTCGACAAAGGTCAGCACGAACTGGCCTGGCTCTTTTCGCTCCAGCAAGACCCGCCTGCCGACGGCGGCCCTGAGGCCTTTTGCTCCCCTGGCAGACTCCAAGCTCATTGCTTGCACCGTGTGGCCTTCATGAAGGAGCCCGACACTTTGTCAACGAAGAGGCTGGAGCTGACCAGCTCGAAGACCAAGCCCCCGGTGCCGACACCGCCTGCTCCTTCAGACGATGGTGGATCTCCAGAGCCTCCCTTGACCAAGAAGCAGCAGAGAGCCCGAGCCTGGGCTGCCGCCAAGAAAGCCGCTCAGCCTTGAAGGCACTCCGACCCAATTCGTTTCGCTCGGGCCCCGTTGTGTCTGTGCCAGCGGTGCTTCCTCTGAAGGTGCTGGGCCTTCGTACTTTGCTGCAACTGCCGTCTGCGGGAACCCGCCCTTTGGCACAATCCTCTTTTGAGCAGTCTGGGGAGAACCCTCCTCACTCCGGCTCCGGGGTTTCGAACCGAAGTGCTCCTGCCCCTTCGGCGCCTACATTTGCTGCTACTTCTAACTTCTGGTCCTGGGCTGCCGCCTTGCCAAACCTGCTACTCTCGGTTCCTCGCTGGGACCTTCCACCTCGCCTCCCCAGGGAGAAAGCTCTCCCCTCTACTGCTCTGCATGTTTCCCTTGCCGATCCTGCGCCCTGGCTGTTTCGACAAGGATGTGCCTCAGCATGGCGAAGCCCGGCAGCAGCTCCTGTTGGATCGGTTCCTTCATGTGACGGTCGCTGCACTTAACTTCTTGCATGCTAACTGCCGTCCCATTCCCTGCCATTGCCTGCAGAAGCCTCCCTCCTCGAGTCAAGTTGCTGTGTTTGACCGCCTGGAGCTCAGAGCGTGCTCTCGATCTACAGGTCGTGCCGACTGTGTGCCACTCTGATCTCCGAGCTCTGCCCACCTTGCGCAGACCTGGATGGTTCTTTGTGCCCAGGTGCTGCTTTGTTCGGCCACGTCAACCACAACGATCATGGGCCGCCCTCTCTCAAGCTCTACCGGGACACCGACGCTGAGCGGATCCTCATAAAAGGCACTGGCTCGTGGGACCTAGGCCGTCACCTGCTCTACGAGCCTGAGCTCTACTTGCCTTTCAAGGACCCGTCGGTCCTGCGTGGGATACCGGACAACGACTCGTTCCGGGCCCCTGCCTCCTCGGGCAATTCCCGCCAGGGTCGTGTGCTCGGGCCGTCGCGTTGGTTGCCACCAAGCAGCCTCCTGACACTGGTGTCGGTCCCGAGGTTGACTGGAGTCCTCGTTGGCGCCTCCACCGCTGACTTTTATTGGCAGGGTGCTGTGACGCAAGCAAGAGCCGCCACGAACTGCATTGCCCCAGCACTCGACCATGAGGGCGTCGAGTATGCCATGGCCGGGCATCAGAGTCTTCTCCGCGACCACCTCCTCCTTCTCTTTTCGGCTTCTTGCCACCCTGCGCTCGGCGTTGTTGGTCCTAGGAACGCCGCTGACCTTCTTCGCCAATGTCGCCGTTCTCCTGGACTTCTGCCCTCCGGCCGGCCAGTGCAGCCTAGGACCAAGGCCAATAGGACCCCCTTGACCGCAGCCTTTTCGCAATGGCTTTTGTGCGTCGTTGGTCTGTCCCTGGACGAGGCTCTTCGAAGCAAGCCCTTCGATCAGGACGTTTTCTGCGACTATGTCATAGCTTTCGGCAACGACCTGTACGCTTCTGGAAGGCCTTATTGGCACTTTGCTGAGACGATAAATGCCCTCACCTCTTTGAGGCCCTCTCTCAGAAAACAGCTTCAGGGTGCCTGGGGGATCTGGCACACACTTGGCTAGCTGAGGAGCCGTATGTACATCACACGGCCATGCCCCTGTGCTTGTTGCTGTATTGAGCACCTGCTTGCTGTGGGGATGGATAAAGGAAGCAGGCATTTTCGCTCTCTGCTTTGGAGCGCTTCTTCGAGCTGGCGAAGCAGTTAAGGCCTACCGGCGAGAGCTGGTTTTCCCTGCTGATACTCTTTGAGACCAGACGCATATCCTTGTCAGGATCCAGGAACCTAAGACTCGGGGTCGAGCTGCTCGCCACCAAAGTGCCAAGCTGGAGCCTGCGGACCTCGTGCAGCTCTGCAGCCTTGCCTTCGAGCACCAGCCCAAGTCTTCCCGAATCTGGCCCATGACGGCGCAGACTCTTCGACGACGGCTTTACGAAGTGCTGGCCAGGCTTGGGATGCCAAGGTCTGGTGGGCGAGACCGCCCACTAGACCTTGGATCCCTCAGACCAGGAGGAGCAACGTACCTGCTGCAGCAGACCGAGGACTCTGAGCTGGTAGAAGGAGGAGGGGACGCTGGATTAGCCACAAGATCATGGAAATATATCTTCAGGAAGTCAGCGCTTCGACTTTTGTGGCCGACCTGAGCCCTGCTTGTCGCGACAAGGTTCTCACGGCTTCAGCTGCGTTCGCCGACCTCCTCAAGCAGGCCGCCAAGTGGACAAAAGCAGGCGTCCCTCCGAACGTGTGGTTTACCCTTTGGCCTCACCTTTGAGCATATGTACCTGGTGCGAAAGTTTTCTTGGGGTCTCTGGGCCTTTGGATGTTTTCTCCCTTCGCCGGCGGATGTCAATACCCGTACGGCACGGCACCAGGACATTGTTGCAAGGAGGTGAAAAGTGCTGAGCTCGAGCTTCTGTGATGTAGAAGCGAGGGTGAATGCATTCATCCGGGGCTCAAGACCCGCCCGCCCTCCCTGTAAAGATGGGCCTTTGGATGTTTTCTCCCTTCGCCGGCGGATGTCAATACCCGTACGGCACGGCACCAGGACATTGTTCCAATGAGGTGAAAAGTGCTGAGCTCGAGCTTCTATTAAGGCTTAAGGGTCCTTCCTTTTACCTTTGGATTAGTGGCCTTGCGCTGATGTTCACATCACACTCGCACTAGCTGCATGCTGAACCCCTAAATCCCTGAATCCGAAAGCACTGAGACAGGTCTACCGTCAGGAGATTGGGGAAACAAGTCCGTCAAACTTTGTCGACGCTGCGGACATTTCCAGCGCTGGCAAAGCAATAGTGACAGAAGATTCTCAATCCAATACGTGTGTAGTTGTCAACATTTTGGTCCCTTTTTGGGTACCTTAAACATTAGGTGCCGTATTATATCAGGGACCCAAAAAAAGGACCCTAATTTTGACAACGAGACGTGGTCTCATGTTTTTAGGTTTGCGGGAGTTAGAGGTTGGGGTCCAGGCTGCGCTGGGGTTAGGGGTGTGATCAAAGGCTTTCAGGAGTTTAGACCCTCTTTTAACCCTAAGCTCTAAGCCCTACTTCAAGGATCATGGGACTTAGTAACTAGGGTTATAATTAGGGTAACCCCACTTATAACTACTTATATCCCCAATGAAGGTACTTATAACCTTACTTACGAAGTCCCATGATCCTCCAAGTACACCCTAAACCCTATAGATCCCTTTAAGGAACCCTATAGATCCCTTTAAGGAGCCCTTTAAGGACCCTTACTAAGTCCCACGATCCTCCAAGTAAACCCGAGCAGGCCCGGAGTTGAGGTGGGAGCACGCATTTTTCCATGATGGGGTGGCCATGCAAGGGCAACACAGGGGTACAAGGGGAAAAGCAATAAGGTCACACAGGATAGCCCTAAACCAAAAGGCGCTTAAACTCCTAAAACCCTGAGCCCCGCACCAAACCACCTGAACCCTAAACCCTTAACCACCAAAACTCCCAAAGCCCTAAAGCCCTAAAGGCCTTAAACCCGGAGGATGCGGTACCGAGGGCAGCTACGGTAGGGGCCAAAAGAAGAGATCATTAGTGGAACCACCCTGCTCGGAGCGCCAAGCATAGAAAAGTAAACAGAACAAGCCCGAAGCTACGCTGTTTTGTCTCGACAGGCCTTCCCCCAAATGTTGTGATCTTCGTTATGTGTCCTCAACCTAGATTCTTCGACTCCAAACCCCAATTCAACCATAACCTTAACCTAGAACATTAGACTCCGTTACTTGTCAAGCTTTCATGTGCGGCTACTTTGACCCACGGAAAGCGAAGAACTTCCAGAAGCCCTACTCCGAAATCGAAAACAAGACAGGAACCTTCCTGAAAGACTGACGCCTAAAAGGCCTAGATCCTCAGCTCTGATCCTAACCCCTCACTACCCTGCGCGCTCGGCCCTGAACCCTGTAAAGCCTCTAATGGGCTGGGTCACGCTTCGAGATTCACGGCCGGATCGACACAGCTGTTGTTTTGGACCTCCCAGGTTTCGGGCCGTGTGCGACGGGCCTTTCTCTTCGAGAGGGGCGCCGATGGTATTTGGGGACCAACCCAAACATTGGTCCTCACCTCTCGCTCCGTAGACGACGGCGCTGTGGGCATCGGTGACACGGCCGCGGTAATGACCTATTTCGAGGCAGACGAAGTGGCACCGTCCTTGGTTAACATAACCGCCACGGGCAAGATCATTGGTTGCAACTCAACTGCACCGACAACTCCGACGCCTTCGTACAGGTACTCGTACTACCGGCGTTTTCGTACGCGCTTCCGACATGCAGGCTGCCCAAAGTGGTGTCCTGCAATCCGTTGGTGGCATTGGCGGTGCAGGCGCTGCAAGGAGCTGTAAAAAGCCTCCCACAGTCTGAAAGTTGCGAAGGCTGCTTTCCTTGTCCTTTGTATAGCTCCGAAAGCCGGACAAGCTTCAGGTTTTGGGTAAACCAGAGCCCTTAAATCCCCAATGCAGAACCCGTGGGCCCGAAGTCCCATCCCTATCCTTACGTTTCGGCTTCAGCGAACCCTACTTGGTCGTGGGCAGCACGGACCCATGTGGAGCACATGGACACATTGACAGCACTGCATTCCGCCAGAAGTCTCTGAGCCGTGTCCAAACCCAAACCCTGCTTCCTTTTAGTGCAATAGGCGATAACCACAACTTGCCCAGTCCTCAAAACCCCTAAACGATTTCGTGGGTTTTTGGTCCTCAGCGTTCCATCAACCTCTGATCCCCAAGGTCACGCGATGTGCGCAGAGTCTCGTCTTCGAGAGGGCCTCTGATGCTGTTCGAGGTCTCGGAGAGATATCGGTTCTCAGCAGCAAGTCCTGCGAGGAGAATTCGACGTTTTCTCCTCGCCTCACCCTGATTCTAAACCCGCAATTCCTATAAATGGGAAACTGTCGTGAGGGACCCATCAGCTGTAAACGCAGACGCTTCTGAAATGCCTGCTCGGATGCTACGAAAGAAAGAGAACAGGGCTTCCATTGTTTCCTGAGGGTTTTCTAATGTTTTCTACTCGGGTGTGACTAGGGTTGTTAAGCTTGCTATCGGTCGGGGCCTGCAACAGACCGAAATAGCTGCGAATGTGTGCGTGCGTGCGTGCGTGCGTGCGTGCGTGCGTGCGTGCGTGCGTGGGTGGGTGGGTGGGTGGGTGGGTGGGTGGGTGGGTGGGTGGGTGGGTGGGTGGGTGGGTGGGTGGGTGTGTGTGTGTGTGTGTGTGTGTGTGTGTGTGAGTGCGTGTGTGAGTGTGTGTGTGTGTGTGCGTGTGTGTGAAGGTTTTCTGCGGAAGTAGCATTTCAAGATTGCGGAGTGGTGTTAGGGGATGTTAGTGGTGTACTACAGAGTTTGAGTTGGAGTTTTTCACTTTCGGATCCTCTTTTCCGTTTGTCCAGAAGCCGGCAAAATCGAAGCTTATTTGGGGCTATCGGTTGATGATATAAATCCTGCATTACCCCTACTAAGGAATGTACCATAATTCCCATAGTTTAGGGTCCTTAAGGTAATGCAGGATTTATATCATCAACCGTATCCGCGCCGTTCAGGATGCAGCATGCCGAGTGTTTAGGGTGCTGACGCTTGCCGTTTGACAACTTGAGGGACTTATCTCGATTAGGGTACTATAAGGGTCCCTTTAAGGGTTCTATAAGGGTACTATAAGGTCCTCTTATTACAGGAGGCTAAAAGGGGTTTTAGCCCATGAAGGCTTTAGCAGGGATTAGTTTCCCAGAATATAGGGTTCATATGAAGGAATCCCTACCCCAAGAATCTTTAACCCCCCCTTTTGGCCTCCCATCAAAATCCCAAACCCGGAACCCTTAACCTACAGTATCTAGTCGGGTCTGGAGAGTTGTAGACATGGGCAACAGGGACAAGGTTGAGGAGAATCGTGTCTGACTTCTTAGAGGATGGGACTTAGCAACTAGGGTTATTATTAGGGTAACTCTACTTATAACTACTTATAATGCCACTTAAGGTACTTATAACCTTACTTACTAAGTCCCATGATCCTCCAAGTTGGGATTTTCGAAGTTTCCAGCTGCAGTGGTCCGATCTTTTGGCCAGACTTCGGGAGTCGAAAAGTATCCCGTTTCTAGTCACTTGTGTGGGAGTTTCCGAAAATTAGGGGTAGGGTCCGTCTATTAAGGATCCTACTACTCAGGGTACTATGTTAGGGTCCCCTATCTTCAAGAAACCCCCGTCTAACTGCACACGACAATCTACTCCCCACTTCACCCACCAAAACAATACCCTGACAATGGCACCCCTTGAGAATCACAAACCCCTGAACCCTAACCCTAAACCCTGAACCCTGAACCCTGAACCTGTAAAGCCCGTCTCTTACCATCCCCGAGTCTTCCCGGCCTCACTGTAGAACGGACACTTCAACCACAGGTTTTCGGTTTTAGGATTTAGGGTTTTAGGGTTTTAGGGGTTTAGGGTTTTGGGGTTTAGGGAGTGTGCAGTGTGTGTGTGTGGGTGTGTGTGTACAGTGTGTGTGTGTGTGTGTTGGTGTGTACAGTCAGTGTGTGTGTGTGTGTGTGTGTGCTGTGGGCACGCTTTTTGAGGAATGGGGGCACACCCACTCATCGTGCGCTTGCGTCAGCATGTAGCCCGGCGTCAACACCCCAACCATGCTGAATTAGGGTTTAGGGTTCACCCCCCAAACCCACTCAAGGCGGGCTTTCTCGCTCTCAACGAGCGGTTCTCCGCAAACCAAAGCTGAGATGGATTGATGTCGGGTTGTTGGTTCTTGCGGCCTGTGCCGGCCGCTCAAGTTTATGGAGTTGAAGGTTTAGCGTTTGGGGTGTAGGGAGGGTTCATGCAGTTGAGGGTTTGGGGACCTTGAACCCCGCATCACCGCAGCAAGCTTGGGCTTCAAGGTTTCGGAGTTTGAGTGTCAGTGTCTCGGAATTCGCAGTTCCGAAGCTTCAGAGTTTCCAGAGCTTCGGACGTCAGGATACTTGCTTGAAGATATGGACATGAACTGACCCCCGAACTCTCAAAGTATGAGCATACACCATTCAAGAACGACAGGCGTCAGAGAGCCATCACTGGACACCCGGGCTGGCAAAACAAGCAGTTTAGGGTTCGGGGTTTAGGGTTTAGGGTGTATGGCTAGGGTTCGGGGTTTAGGGTTCGGGGTTTAGGGTTTAGGGTGTATGGCCACTCTACTGTTCCGAGTCGTCACGGCAAGACAAAAAGGGAAAGTCTCTGTGTCGATGGATGGCTTCGTGAAAAGATGTCCCTCTGGCGTGCGTGGAGGCCCGGGGGTTTTGAAGACGAGGCTTTAAAGCGATCCTTAAGGTTCCTTTAACGGGATCCCTAAGGGTTCCCTTAAAGGGATCCCTAAGGGTTGAGGTCTGAATTCTGAACGGTGTGCAGTATTTCTCGATAGTTTGGTTTGGACTTTTGCGGGATGTTTGGGCTGCGGGGTTTCGATTCTCGGGCCTATGGGTCAGGCTCGGGTTTCGGCTGAGGCGGGGATCTTGGGCTGAACGTAGCAAGATTCCTGGCTTACATCAGTGGCTGGGGTTCTTCATCTCATTCGAGATTTGGCGGCTCGTTGGTGTGCTTAAAGGATCATGGGACTTCGTAACTAGGGTTATAATTAGGGTAACTCTACTTATAACTACTTATAGCCCCAATTAAGGTACTTATAACCTTACTTGCTAAGTCCCATGATCCTCCAAGTAGGGTTGGATGACTTCAGGTGCAGGTCCGCGCACTTGCCAGCAAGGCCGCACCCTTGCCGCGATATCCTTGAAGTTCCTCACAAAATTCTGGTTTGGGGTTCGATCTTCGAGAAGGAGCAGACATCTGCAAGGAGAGTGGAGCGTTCCCCCGCCATATTCAGACATGCTGCAAGATGTCATACCTATACAGCAGCTGGAGAGTCCCAGTCTTTCCGTACCTCCAGACCGAAGCCATTTTATCCCAGAATCCGTAGCCGTAACCCTGAACCACATAGCTGGAAAGCCTTGTAAGCCCGAAAAGGCTAACAGTTCCCTGAGTCCTGCGGAGCATCCTAAATCCTAAACCCTGAACCTACATCCTAAGACTTAAAAAAATAAACCCTAGACCCCAATCCCGAATCCCTGAACCCTGAACCCTAAACCTTAATTCCTAAACCCTAAAACCTAAACCCGAAATCCCAAACCCTGAACCCCCTAATCCTTTCTGGAAAGGCGCTTGGGGACGAGGCTCGGCCCGTTTGGAGGGCTCCGTCGCTTTCGGCCCAATTGGGTGCTGTGAGGGGGGTTCCGGAAGTAGGGGGATATTTTAGGGTTACTATAAGGGTACTATAAGGGTTCTTTTAACGGGCTCTATAAGGGTGTCCGAAAAAAGAGGCCCTGAATACAGTACCGTAAATAATAGGTTCCTTAATATAAAGATGCCGAAAGAAGGTACCCTTAATTTTCGGAAACTCCTATAGGAGCAGTATAGAGCATAGTTGTTTTTCAGGGTTGTTATAGGGGCGGTGGGTATATCTAGTTGATGGGCTACTGTAGGGTTATGTTAAAGGGCTACTACAGCAATCGGAAGCATATCACAGAAGCCATCTTGAGATCTTCAGTGCCGGCTTGGCACAATCCTTTCGAGCGGCCCCAAACCCTAAACCCTAAGCCCTAAACCCTAAGCCCTAAACCCTAAGCCCTAAACCCTAAACCCTAAGCCCTAAACCCTAAGCCCTAAACCCTAAACCCTAAGCCCTAAACCCTAAACCCTAAGCCCTAAACCCTAAACCCTCAAACCCCAAGAAGCCCCAACAAATCAGACGTCGAGCATCAAGCCAAAGCCACCAGCCCTATCGAAGTTGGCCACGGTTCCTATAAAGGCGAGTATGCTTCTTGTCAACAGGGGGGGTTGCCTAAGAGCTTGACGCTGGTTAGGGAATTCGGGATGGGGTTTTGAGGAGCGCTTTCTCGCTTCAGGGCTGTGTTCCCAGCTCCGAAATCGTAGCAGTATTCGATCTGGGCACCGAAGGATCTGTAAACGAACGCAGGCATGTAGTCTCCCCTAAGCCCCGTCCCAGACCCGAAACTGCCTAAGCCCTACACTTTGCGAGAAAGCTGGAATCCTGTTGCGAGGACCTGCTGCTACTACCCAAAGACGCTGTAGTGCTTCACTACCAAGTTCCCTGAACCCCAAGTGCTAAACCCGAACACCCAAGCCTCAAAGGACGCCTTACGCCCTAAGTATTAAACCCCTACACCCTAGACCCACACCCTGTGAAACCTTAAACCCTAAACCGCAGACGAAACGGCAAATTCCTCATTCTTTAATACGAGCCCGTCATATCTAAATCCAACACCCCAAGCCCCAAAGGAAGCTTTCATCTGTAAAGCTCTTAA